ACAGGTGGACGGATGGCCAACTGTCAGTTCAGTCGGCTATCTTATAGCATGGGAGGGTGGGCGGTCATCATTTCACGTGATGGGAGCTCAGCTGATGGCTTCAGTTCAGATCAACTGAACTGAGAGCGGGCCCATAAGTTTTCGTAGCAAAGATTTCAGCACAATTTTAGCACCTAGAGCAGCTCGCAAAACCTCTAAAGAACGTGATCTCAGACTTTTCTTCAGCGTTCCAGATTTTTGACAATTCATTTTCCGAAATTCAAAGTTTAAGTGGATTTCCTATTTGAATTTTTGTCTTTGGAGTTCATTGACGACAAAGAGTAGCGAAGATGTGAATAGAAAGTAGATGAAATTCTATAAAAACCATTTTTTGTAATCAATACGTTCACTAGGGCACTTACGAATTTTTTCAAAACCAAAGCTACAGAACTTTTGGAACAACCTGATATATAAATATAAATACTGGAATATGCTATATTCTCTTTTAGAGCTGGACAGACTACAAGTTACGGTGGAATCCCGATGACTATGGTGGTGTTGACGTCCTTTATGTGCCTTCTGATACGATATGGCTGCCGGATATTGTTTTATACAACAAGTAGACTATCTTCATCTATAAGTGGTCATTCTAAAGTCCTATTTGACTGCATTTCAGCGCCGATGGCAATTACCAAGTGACTATTATGACCAAGGCTAAACTTTCCTATAATGGAACTGTCGAATGGGCTCCTCCGGCCATTTATAAGAGGTTGGTTGGAGAATCTTGAATTTGCAAATGATGCCGTACTCCTTTCTATAATGCTTCTATTTATAGCATGTGTCAAATAGACGTCGAGTTCTTCCCTTTCGATCGGCAGCAATGCGAGATGAAGTTTGGTCAGTGAATTTCTTCAAATTTAAAAAAATGAAAGATACCATCAAACGACAAGTTATTCTTATTCTCATGATCATGAATGTTGCTGGTTGTTTATCCTAGCAGTTAATCCATTCCGAAAAATTGCCGGGAAGGAAGTAAATGCTCATGAACTCGCGAAAACATTTTTTCAATCTGAATTTAAGGCTGGAATTTTAGGCTCTTGGACGTATGGTGGCCTCGAGGTAGATTTGATTCATAAGGACGAACATCTCCAAGAGGAGATGATTGAGATTGTCGAAGGAGTCGACGGGCCAATGGAAGAGTCTGTCTGGATAGTCGACGAAGGTAACTTCCTGTTTTAAGTGAACTATTCAATGATTATTTATTTTCTTTTCATCTTACGTTACATTTCTGTGGTTTGAATAGTTAGTTGTCTAAGATCAACCCTCGGACTCATCAGGTTCGCTCTCCTACGTTCAGCATTCTCATTTTAAGAACTCATTGCTGTATCTATAAATTTTTCATCGGTAAAACCTAGGGCTATTATAACGAGATCATAAGACTTTTTTAGCTTATGGTCTTGAAAATTTTCAAGGCCATAAGCTGCTGCAGTAAATAAATTCAAATGCCGTCGTGTAGCTTTACAATCTCGCATTATCGAAATTCCAAGAATTTAAAGGCAGGACTCAGCAAATCTCCTGAATTTTTTCCCCTGAACTGGGGTAATCCAGCGCGAATCAACTGATTCCGAAAATCCACCTTGAAGAGCGCGAAAATGGCG